ATATATATATTTGGGGTTAGAATGTATACTGTCAAATATGATCATCCAGTCTCTCCCATATGTGGATCCTAGCCTATAATGTATACAAGGATATATGTTCATAGCTGTTAGTGTGGATATATTACATTTATTATAACCCCCAAAACAGTCTTTTCAGGTGTACTTGATGGTTTTGTGTATCAATTTGACACAAGCTAAAGTCATCAAAGAGGAAGGAGCCTCCGTTGAGAAAATGCCTCCATGAGATCCAGCTGTAAGACATTTCTTAATTAGTGACCAATGTGGGAGGGTCTGGCTCATTATGGTGGTCCTGGGTTCTATAAGAAAGCAAACTGAGCAAGCCATGTGGAGCAATCCAGTAACCTGCAACCCTCCAATACCTCTGCATCAGCTCCTGTTCCAGGATGCTGCCCTGTTTGAGTTCCTGTCCTGACTTCCCTCAATATCAGCAGCAACATAGAAGTGTAAGCCAAATAACCCTTTGCTCCCCAACTTGCTTTTTGGTCCTGGTGTTTGGTGGTAGCAGTAGAAACCTAACTAGGATATCAGATGATGAGGAAGGATGGAATGTAGGCAAATGCCAAATGACTTGTGGAAACGGATATGCAGTCAACTGTTTTTCTAGTTTCAACTCTGTTAGCGTGTGTTTGTGTGTGTGTGTGTGTGTGTGTGTGTGTGTGTGTGTGTGTGTGTGTGTGTGTGTGTGTGTTGAATAAGTCACTAAAATGTAACTGACAGTGAAAGTTTAAAACCCTAAGCAAAGCCCCAGAAAGGTCACCTAACCATCTAGAAGTTCACTGAGAAGTCTAGAGTTAGGGACTGGGCAAGCAATTGAAAGGCTAGGCTCACCTGGTTGATCAATGTTGTCACTTGTGAGTTCATTGCAATAAATGGTACTTTGTATTTAAAAAGAGGTCTGGGATACAGCTCATTGGGAGAGTGCTTGCCTAGTATCCATGAAGCCCTGGGTTTCATTGTAAGTTCCCACAAGGAAGATAAAGAAGAGGAGAAAGGAGGGAGGAGAGGAAGAGGAAGAAGAAGATTTCAATCTAGTGAAAGAATGAAAAAAGGAAGAAGAAAAATGTAATCTAGCAAAAGAATATCTTTATTCTTTGTTTCTAGAACAAGCCAAACTAGGTACATTAAATTAATGTACTTTGGGTGCAAACCACAGAATTATATTTATAAATTCACATTTGCAATTTTTTATATTTATTATCTGGGCAGTGGTGGCACATGCCTTTAATCCCAGCACTCAGGAGGCAGAGGCAGGTTGATCTCTGTGAGTTTGAGACCAGCCTGGTCTACAAGAGCTAATTCCAGGACAGCCTCCAAAGCCACAAAGAAACCCTGTCTCGAAAAAAAAAATCTGATAATGGTAATTTGTCTACAATATGTGTATCTCTGCCATGCCTGACTGCTGTACTCTCTCACCTACTGCCCTCTGTGGGTCAGGAAACATGCATTAATTTCTCTACATCTGCCTTGGAGGTACAGTACAACAACAAGACCATCTTCGTTGTGCGATAATGCCCTTGTTCACTGTAAAGATTTGTCACTTGCATTGGTTTAATAAAATGCTGATTGGCCAGTAGCCAGGCAGGGAATATAGGCAGGGCGACCACACTAGGAGAATTCTGGGAAGAGAAAAGACAGAGATGCAAACATAGCAAGATGAGAATGCCTTACTGAGAAAAGGTACCAAGCCAGGTGTCTAAACATAGATAAGAATTATGGGTTAATTTAAGTGGTAAGATTTTATTAGCAATAAGTCTGAGCAATAGGCCAAACAGTTTATAATTAATATAAGCCTCTGTGTTTTTCTTTGGGATTGAATGGCTGCAGGCAAGACAGAAACTTCTATCTACACAATCTTTAGCAAAAATTCCCCAAATTTTCCTTTAATGATTACAATTAAAATGAAGATCCAGGGATGTAACTCCATTACCACACATAAAATCCTGGGTCTTATTCCTAGCACCAAGTAAATTGGATATGGTAGTATATACCTCTTGAAAGGTAGAGGCAGAGGGTCCAGAAGTCTGAGGGCAGCATGGCATACATGTCCTAAAAATTCACATTAAAATGTATTTTCTTGGGGATAGAGAGATGGCTCAGCAGTTAAGAGCACTGGCTGCTCTTGCCAAGGACCTAGGTTCAATTCCAAATACATACATGGCAGCTCACAATCACCTATAACTCTAGTTCCTGGGGATCCAGTACCTTCTTACACCATCATTGGGTAAATTTAAAAAAGCATCTATATTTAAAGATACATTTTATTAAACACTCAAGAACACAATATAATAGTGACTCACTAGCATGCAACAAGTTGTTACTCTAAGCCATGTATTCTTCTTAGGGATATATATATATATATATAATTTCATTTAATTTTTATGATAAACACATGGGAACTTTACTGTTATTATCAGTATTTTACAAATAAGGAAAGTGAAACTTGGATAGATGAAAAGCTTATCAAGGGTTGGGGAAAGTCAAGGAGCAAGCAAGATGCCATGAAAATGATGGCATATGCCAGTTGTCTCTCTGTGGTAGGAGAGGACTTAAACCAAATCACCTCCTCGGTGAGGTCCTCCTGGCAGACGTCTCTACATTAGAGGCCCCCTCTGTGCTTCCCTGGCTCCATGAGACTCTTTTTCCTAGAACTTATCACTTTTGCCCTGGAACAGCCTGCAGTTAGTACATGGCTCATCTGTTTGCTTTTTTTCCACAGCTCAATAGTCCTTATTGACTAGTTCTGGACTAAGGGCTGGAGAGCATGTGAAAGACAAAAGTGTTCTGTAGCTGGTCTGCATACTCCAGCCAACAGTGTCTAGCCTGAGGGAACTGGGTCACACACAGGGGACTGCCAACAGATACAACTCATCCAGGATTTCCTATCCCTAATTAGAAGAAAAGCATGTGAGAATAATGAGGAGCCAAGGATATCTATATAGTTTTTAATTTTTTTTTTGTGTGTGTGTGTGTGTGTGTGTTTCACAAGCCATTATGCCATTGAGGTCAGAGGACAATTTTCCAGCTCAGTTTTCTCTTTCTACCACATTGATCCTGGGAATCAAACTCAAGTCATTGAGCTCACTGGCAAGCATCCCAACCAGATGAGTCATCTTGCTGACCCCACCTCTTTAGATGAAGAATGAGGACAAGAGGTAAAAGAAAATCAGGAAAGAACAGCTGGCAAAAAGCCAGGTTTTTAAGGAAAGAGAAGGAAATGGAAAAAATGGGAAAGAGTAGAGAGACCTCAAGCAATTTCTCATTCAGGACGTGTGAAATCTAGTTCAAAGAAGATAATCTTCACACACACACACACACACACACACACACACACACACACCATGCTTTTTAATATTGTTAATATGTTTTGCTTACATGTATGCATGCACCATGTGTATGCAGTGACAAGGAGAGGCCAGAAGAGGGCATCAGATACTCTGGAACGAAAGTTACAGACAGTTGTGAGCAATGAGGGTGCTGAGAACCAAACCTATGTCTTCTGCAAGAGCAATTTAAGGTCAATTTAGGACACAGAAGACTCTGTCACAAAAAAACAAGGAGGAGGAAGGTGTGAGGAGAGGAGTAAGAGGAGTAGAATGGGAGATGAATAGAGAAATGTGTGTGCAGTGACAAGACTATTGCTTTTTTCAGAGGACCCAGGTGCAGGTACCAGCACTCACATCAGGCAGCTCACAACTTCCTACAACTCCAGTTCTAGGGAATGCAGCGCCCTCGTCTGGACTCAGTTGGCACCTGCACATAATGTGGTGCACATTACCACATGGAAACACATACATGCACAATTCTTTTACACATAATTTATGGTAAAACGAAGAAAAACATAATATGATCATCTTTTTTCAGCATTTTTTTCTTGAAAGTTTTTTACATTCTTTTTTATTTTAGAAATAATCTTATTTTACATAATAATCCCCTGATTCCCTCACCCTCCCATCCTCCCATCCCCCCCTTGACCTCCCCACCCAGAACCCACCCCAAACCCACTCCCCAAGGATAGTGAGGCCCTCCACCAGGGACTAGGGTCTCTGTGCTCTCACTAGGTCAGGTCAGCTGCTTCTGCGGGGTTTCTCCAGTATGGTCTTGTCTCCTTTGCTCATCCCTCCTCCTTCTCCACAACTGGATTCCAGGATCATCTTAATAGATATAGAAATGGTGGTGTGTACGATTCTA